ATTTAAAACCCAAGTCTCCTGGGGGGTTGAAATAGTGAGTCACACTTGGGGAAGAACCGGCCCCCACCACTGGAAAGGCTAAGGAAATGGGGTGGGTCTTGAGGCACACAGGTTGAGTGTCCAGTATATCACAGGCACAGAACCAGTTCTCTGGGGATGATGGGTTTCTGTCCTCTGGAACTCAGGAGGTTAGTCAGGGAGACAAATCTTGAAGTAGTTCACAAACCAAATAATTACTGGCAGGTGCGGGAGGAGGCTGCACAACAAAGAGAGCAGACCTGGCTCAGCGACTGAGCCACACAATAGCTCCCTGGAGCTGTGGCCCTCCAGGGGGTGGGTGGGTGGGGCCATTACCTGTGGGCCTCAGGGCCCTGTGCCCAGCAACACCTGAGCAGCAGGAAGAAAGGCAGGTCCCACCCCTCTAAACCGCCCCTGGGCTAACTGCCCTTGGTTTGGGACTTGGACTCTGCTTCGCTGTGAGGTGGGTCTGTGAGAATGAGTGCAGCATGAATATTCCTCCTCCCAGGACTGCTGGAAAACAGCTCTATGCTTTAATCAAAAAGGTCAGGCCAGCTGGGTCCTCTAGTGGGGCTGGAACCCCAACACCAGGGGTGAAGACTTGGAGGCACCTGCCGGGACCTGCTGGGACCTGCCTTCCTTTCACAGGCCGGACAGGGTCTCCTCTCTCCCCTCTCCCTCAGGGGTTGCCCAGCTCAGGCCAGCACTGCACTAGGGCACAGCCCAAACCCTGCTGAGCTGACCCCTCACTGACCTCAGGGATTCTAGTCCTCCAGGTCTGGCTGTGGGCAGGGTCAGAGGCCTCAGAGGAGGGGGGTAGGCCTGAAGACGTAGCCATGGTGGAGAGAGGACTTAAGGAAAGTTTCTTCCTTTATTCCCTTGGAGACTGGGGAGAGAATAGGAAGGTAGGAGGAAATAGGCCACCAAGCCAGAGTGAAAGGCCTAGTGGGTGGCCAGGCCTCAGAGGAGGTGACTGTGGCTGATGCTGGGAGAGAAGGAGTTAAGACGGTGAGGGGGGGCAGCCTATGGCAGGAGGACACACCTGTGCGCAGGGCGGCGGGCGGGGCCCAGGTGAGGCGCTGGTGCTGCTTGGCAGGCAGAGAAGGAAGAAGGAAGAGTGGAAGCCAGGGCTGGCTCTAGGGCGTTGAATCGGGGCTTTGACGCTCCTTCTTCTCCTCTCCTCGGCACCCACATTCTAGGGGGCAGGCGGGACTGGTGACAGGTAAAAGCCACCAGGCAAGGGGTCCTGGGGCTGAGTTAAAACTGTAGAGTGGGGGCTGAGGGCCAGTGAATTGGGGTGTGTTGGGGGCAGGGACAGGCTGTAAGGGTAGCAGAGGAAGGGGCTCAGAAGCGGAGAACAGAAGGACAAGGGGCTGCTGAGGTCCTGCCGGGGCCCTGGCAATCTTAACCACTCAGGGTGGGGCTGGTGGTGGGCAGCAGGGATCACCCGGAAGTATCCCCAGGGACACGGGTAGTGGGGGGATGGGAACCAGGGATCTGTAGCTTCTCAGCAGAGAGTGTGGGGCTGGGCCTGATGACTGGAGGTGGGCACGCTGGGTGGGGGCCCTCGTCTTACCCAGCAGTGTTTGGGTGGTTGGGAGTCTCTAATACTGCCGGGTAATGATGGAGGCCCCTGACCCTATGTTTGTTCCCATCCATCCATCCGCTCAGGAGGTCTGGGGGGGGGGCCCAGCTGGTTGTGACCCCACCCCCACCCACATAACCTGGAAACCCCATGTCTTGAGCTGAGGGTGCTGCAGGAGGGGTGGCTCTTGGTTGGCTGATTGCCCACTGAGGGAACACAATGGCTCCAGCCCTTGTCCAATCCCAATGTGTTATCCAGCACTCACTGCTGACCTTGAGTTTGGGATTGGCTCTTGGTCTCTCAGGAGGCCTCAGCAGGCTTGCAGCCAGGGTCCCTGTAGCAACTGGTCAACTGTAGCCTGGAGTTCCATGTTGGCCGGCTCTGGGTCCATCTTCCAGTACAGTGTTGGATGGTCTTTGTGAAGCTCCTAACACTGTCTGGTAAAGATGGCCCCCGGGTTGGTTCTTTCAGCAATGACTTTCCTGGAGCTCTGAAGACCATGGAGGCCTCCTGATTGACAAGCTATGAACCTTTCCCCTTTTGATGAGGGTGTAAATGATTAGGAAAAGGGGAACAATGGAAAGGGAAACAAAATGGCTGCCCCTGGTGTAGCAGCAAGATTTGGAAATATACTTATTCCCCATTTCCCAGATACCTCCATTGTCCTCCCACTTTGGGAACTTGAAAGAAATGAAGTGTGAATGGTAACAGGTGGATGACTAATCCAGGTCCCTTGACCTTTTTTTTTTTGAATCTTTTTTAGAAAAACTTTTATTCGTAAGTTTTAGGTGGTCACAATATCTTTACACTTATATGGCGCTGAGAATTGAACACAGTGCCTCCTGCATGCTAGGCAGGCACTCTACCACTGACCCATACCAGCTCCTCCCTTGACCTTTTATCCGTAAATCTTACCTTAGGGAGAGTGGCTGCTACTTCAACTTCACCTCCCTTTCCTTTCTCGACATTTAACCCTCAGGGCATGGAGAAATTGTCTACTTCCTTCAAAACCCTAAAGGCTGAAGACCCGCCCCTTTTGACTCTATTAAAGTTTACTTTCTCCTCTACTATGCATCTTGTCATTCCTTTATCCCCAGTGTTGTCCCCCAAAAGGACAAAGGACAAGAGTACGGATATAGTGGGATTAGGTATAATAAGCAGACTTCATTTTATTGGTGCTTGAGATCCAGTGAAGGCTGTCTTGGGAAATGTGAGACAGCTTCTCAATGGATTAAAACCAGGCTGCTTTTCTGATGGGGCTCCAGAGCTGCAGGAGTGGGAAGCCCACCTTTATAGGTCAGGATTTCTCTGCAAATTGCACCTCACACCTTGTAAAATTCAAAGTTGCAGGTAGCCCACAGCAGGCAACACAATCCACTGGGCTTTTGAATGTTGCTGAGGTCCCTTGTTGGTACTCATGATCTCCCCACAATTCCACAGAGGTCTGTTACCAAGGAAGCAGCTCCCCTTGGGGTCATCAGATTTTTAGTTTGGCTCAGCAAAACCACAGCTGCTCTAGCCTTAAAAAAGGAGATGTTGATAAATGGGGGTGGTGTGGTAGACATGGAGGGCGGGCTAGTGGGTGTAGCTGGGCCTCTGGATCTGAGGCCTGCTGCTCCCAGCTTTGGTCCTCTTTTGGAGCAGATTGGTGGGTTTGGAGAACCTAGGCCAGACTCCTTGCGCCCTCTGCTGGCAGATAAGAACCTGGAGCACAGGCATGATTGGATACATTTGCTTCCCTCCCACATGACGCAGACACCTAAAGCCTTAACTTTGGCTTAAGTAATAAAAATTTATTGAGAATTCCTGGTATGGTGGTTATCTCCTCCCAGCTGAGGGAGGGAACAACACTGTAGGAAATCACTGAGAAATCACACACTGTCCCAAACCCCCTGGCCAACACAGGGAGAAAGAAAGTCATTCCCCTAAGAAGGGCTGGTCTTCAGTCTTCCTTAATCCAAGAGGGCCTCAAGAGGATGGGTGCAGAGGGGACCATCACATGATATTGGGGTTGGGGTATGCTGGACCCCTAGCTGGTTCCTCAAAAACTGGAGGAGAAATACATCTGCTTCCTCCCTGGGGTAGAGTTCTTCTCATCAGGCTCATTTCTTACCCTTGATGAGGCTGTCACTGGAAAAATGGGACAGATGGATGACATTACTGGAGATATAAATGTGAGATGCAGAATATTCCAGGTCATTTCCACCTCTCCTGATTGAGGGTCTGGGGGGGAGGGTGGTGACTTAGGGGAGGTAGTAGGGCTAGTTAGTGGTAGCAGGGCAGGTACTGGGAGAAGATGAACTGCAGGACCCCCCCCCCCCCAAAATAAGGACACAGCAACAACTTACCTTCCTCTGTGGACACCAGACCATGAGGTAAACAAGACAACAGAGAAAAAGAGAAATGCAGGTGATTTAATGACTTCAGACCCCAGTCAGCTCCAAACCCTTTGCTCCCAAAAGCAGACCACAAATTGGGTAGAGGTTAGGATCTCAGGCTCATGGAAGACTATTCTCTGCTCTTTCCTTTCCTTACACGTTTCCATGTACCAGAGCAGCTGTTGACCAATTCTATGGGTAAGAAAGGAACTACCAACTCCCCCACTTTTTTCGTGGTACTGGATATTAAACCCAGGGGCTCTCTATTGAGCCATATCCCCAGCTCTTTGGATGTATTTTTAAAATCTTGAGAGAGCATCTTGCTATCCTAGAACCTGCAATCCTGAGTCAGTCTCTTGAGTAGCTGAGTCACAGGCATGTGCCACTGTACCTGGCCAGCCACCCCCTTTTCTAATTTTGAAAAAGTATCAAGAGTCACAAGTAGCTGTAATAGGCTCCAGAGCCCAAGGAACCCCAGACTCAAGCCCCATGTTCTCTGTGACATCACACTGTGCAGCCCTATTCTTACCGGGTAAAACTTTCATCCTGTAGGTTCAACACAAGGTTATCAGCCGTGAGATAGATACGATTTTGTGATGTGGCGATCTGCAGGGCAGTAAGAAAGACAAATGGGGGCATTAGTAAAGACCTCGACTCCTGTCTTTGTGATTCAACAGCTACTAAATGGAACATGTGTGGCTGGGACAGAGATATAGCAATGAGCAATGACTATGATGTACTAATACTGTAACAGGAATGAACAGAAGATCAGGGAAGCGGTGGGCAATTAAGTGTCAAGAGAAATCAGTTTGAGTAGAAACCTGAATGAGATGCAGGACTCTCACACTTACCGTCTTGGAGATGTTCTGGGCAGCCCGTATCTTACGAAGCTTGATGTAGCCAGGATTCTTGCTCAGTGCTTCTCCAAGGTGAGCAGGGAAGGGTTAAGTGTCCACACAAGATGAGATCTCAATCCCTGGCCCCATCTTTACTACTCTCATGCTAGTCCTCCTCTGGGCTGTCAGATCCAAGGTTGTGCTCACATGGCCGGTGCCCATCCCATCTTTGGCCCCTACCTGTGGGCCTCCCTGTAGGCTACTGCCAAGAACTTGGGGCAGCAGCAGACATGAGGGCAAGGCCAGCAGTGCTCTTGATCTGGCCTTACAGCAGGGAGCCAGGACTCAGGTTTCCCCACCAAGATTTCAGATCCCATCTATACCTACCCGCCCCCCACCCAGGAGCCAAGGGTCAGAGAGCACAAAGTCACATTCGCCTTATTCTCATCAGCCGGCCCTTGAGGAAGGATGGGGAAAGCAGGGTGCCTGGGGTCAGGCCAAGGATATCATCTTGGCAGCCTCTGCTTCACCCTCAGCCTGCACAATCTTCTGCCGTTGTTCCTGTTTTGCCTTTTCCACCAAGAACTGGGCCCGCTGGGCTTCTTGCTGAGCTGTGGTGAGAAAGTCAGGGGGTCACAGTGAGGTAAGGATCCCTAACCTTGGATAGATCTGTCTGGTTTCTGTTTTCAGAAGCCCCTGCCCCACTCCTCTTGTGACTCACCCACTTGTTTGGCTTCTACGGCAGCTGTGTACTCCCGGCTAAAGCTCAGCTCCGTGATGGCTACATCATCCAGGATAAGGCTGAAATCCTTGGCCCTTTCTGTCAGCTCCCTGCGGATCAACAGGGATACCTGGAGGCAGTGGTGGGGATGGGAATGAAGGGGTGTTGAGAGAACTGAAGAACTGGAAGGAAGGCTGTATTGCTGTGCCCATTTAAATACCAGATCTCCTGGTATGGCAATTGGCCTACTCTCAGTTCTTGAGACACTCACTAGAACACTTGAATTGGAAAGACTTGGTTCAATCTATTCATTTGATAGATTAGATGGCCTCCCAGAGGTAATATGATTGTCCCAGGTCACAATGAATCCTAAACCTTCACTCTCCAATATAAGTGTCTCCTTTGCTTCTTGCCAGGCAAACCTGCAACACAACGCATTATTTCCTCCTATGCTTCCTTCATAACACTGATTGCTACTGAGTTCTATGTCCTACAGTGGCAACTAGTATAGCTTTTATGTGGATATGGAACTAGATTCTAATAAGATATTTTTCATGGTCCCTAGTACTCTGGGTCTGGGAGGGAAATGCTGCCACCATGCAGATGGTGATGGGAGCCAGACCTGAGCCCGCTGGGTGATCAGCTGTGATGCATTGAACTTGGCCACCACACTCTTGAGCACCTCGTTGACAATGGATGGTAATACTCGCTCCTCGTAGTCTAGCCCGAGGCGCTGATACATGCTGGGGAGCTCTTGGGCATTGGGTCGAGACAGCACACGCAGGGAGATGTTCACCATCTGCAGGTCTGAGGGAGAGGTCAGCAATGGCTGGTCAAGGTCAACCCTCCCCTCAAACATTTTCTTTTCCATGTGCTTCCATCTATGCCTAGTATACAGCCTAGCACTTTCCTGGGGCAGAATAATAAAGTTGTGAAGGAAGATGCTACATAGCACATGTGAAGTGTATACTTGTCCACTGGGGACCTACAACTCCTCCATTAGTAAAGCTTACTTCTACTTTTACCACTGAATCTTGAGCAACCTCTTAAGGTAGTTTATCATGCAGCATCATGATAAACTGTCTCTTTTTACTAGACTATTAAGAATTGATAAGGATTGTTTTAAGAATCTTATTCCCAGGGCTTAGTGAACGAATAAGTGATACACACTTAAAAAAAAATATAAAGAAGCATATCACCAGTTATATTGAGTTAACATGCCTCAGTGTAAATGTGTCTCTCTGAATGAGGCAGGGGCCAGCAGAATCTCAAAGGCACAGCTTCTAACTAAGTAGTCTGTAAAGAGAGGAGTCATACTTCTTCAGGACAGGGCATATCAGTAAATGTAACTGGATATAATTAATAAGTCAAAAAAATAAGAAAATGCTTTAATAAAAGGCTTTGACTTAGGCACTATGACAAAAATGGGACAAAGTTCGGAAGTTTATGTAACAGATAAGGAACTATTAATAAAAAGAAAAACATGCAAACATCCTACCTGTTGGAATGTACTGCTTTAGCCCCAGGAGGCAGGCACTTTTGCAGATGTGGAAACCAAGACCTAAAAGACCCCACCCACACTACCATCTTGCAGCCTCCCGGTTCACTTTAGTTATATCTTCTGCCATGTGACTTCCAGTTGCCCACACTTACCTTTGGAGCCTGTAGGGGAGGAGATTTTTCGGGGTCTGGCCCGAATGTCATATATAATGGGGTATTGGAACCAGGGAATCCTGAAGGGAAGAGGACAGGGATAGGAATTAGGAAACTGAAGTTTCATTGGTTTCCCCTCACTGTAGTGGCTTGCTCCTTCTCTCAACATAATAGTTTATGTGTTGCTAGAGTATTGGCAGCCAACACTGTCCTGGGGTGATTAAGGGAAAGAGCAGTGCTGAATCCTGATGCAAGTCCTACTAGTCCTTGGTGGGTCGTGTCAAGGGTGAAGGGTCAGTGTGCTCTGCTCACCATTACCTGAAATGAAGGCCCTCGGCCAGGATGGTGTCCTGCTGTACGCCACCGATCCGATTAAAGAAGATGGCTCTGTGCCCGCCTTCCACTGTGGAGAGAGGGATAGGAATCGGACTAGGCCGCTGCTCAGAGTACGTGCGCGGCTCAGGGTACGTGTTCGGTTCAGGTGAGGCAGGGTGAGGGAGCTAGGTGAATGTGGACAGCTGGAGAGACAGGGCAGGGGGCAAGGGTCTGGGGATTCCAGCGAGCGGGAGGAAGCTGCTCACCAGTGAACACGGATTCTCGGACGCCGTAGGCCACGGCGCCAGCCCCCAGCAGCAGCTTCAGCGCCGTGCCCATGCCCCGGGGCCCGGCGGGCAAGCGTCCCGCTAAGTCCTTCAAATTCTGGGCCATCTCTGATTCTGAGGGCGGCAGCACCGGAGGTCAGGAGGGGGTGCCCGCCCGTCACTACCCCACTCCAGTTTGGAGATCACAACCAGCACACGAGGGCCCGGAGCAGAAGAGCTCGCGGGAGAAAGGGCACCGGAAGTGCGCTCTCTTCTAAACCCTCCCCTTTTGCTTACAGCGGACCCGAACTTCGCGCACAGGAATCACGCATCCGGAAGCTCCTCCCCTTTTTGGAACCCTGCTGACCCGGACTTCAAGCCCTCGCCGTTTCTGAGCGCCCACTTTCAAAATGGCATCCGGCAGGAAGTTTGCGATTCTGACGAGCTCGAGGTGCTAGTTAAAGACGTTAGCACGACTTCCGGGCTGGTTGTAAAGATGGCCGCGCCCAGTGATGAGTTCCAACCTCGTGAGCTGCGCTTTGGCGAGCAGGAGCAGGACTGGGATGCTGTGGCTCCTAAGAGGCCTCGACTCGGGGCAGGAAGCAAGAGTGGAGGTCGTAGGCTCATTGTGGTGTTGGAAGGGGCCAGTCTGGAAACCGTCAAGGTAGTTTGGAACAGGTAGACATATAAGCTAGGTCTCCGTGGGATTTAGGGAGGATGGAGAAAGAGTTGAAGGATGGTTCACCTAGTAGGTAGTCTCTGGTTTCACATTCTGTGTTGCAATACCAATTTTCTTCTGCTTTTCTTGACTCCCACTCCCACATTCTTGACTCTCACCTCCTTGATTCCATTTGTTTACCAAGATTACCTAATATAAAATCAACTCAAGTGAGGCGAGATCGTCTATCGCAGCCTCCTACATCCCAAAGGAGAAAGGTAGTTACTGTAGCCTAGGTTGTCCAACCTTTTATTGCTAAGGACTTAATCTTTAATTTCGTTAAAGGATTTCTGCTGTCATCTGTTTCTATCTACCTCGAATACTGCCTGGACCAATTAATTTAATACATTTTTATTTATTTTTTACCATCATTTATTTATTTCTCTCAAAGGCATAAAACTTAAAGCCTTAAAGCCTTGGGCAAGCTAAGCTTGTTCATCGAGTAGCTCCAAAGAAGTTTAGATGTCATATTGCCTTTTTTTTTGTTTTTTTTTTTTAAAGTTATAGGTTGATGCAATCTTTTATTTATTTATTTTATGTGGTGCTGAGGATCGAACCCAGTGCCTCACGCATGCTAGGTGAGCGCTTTACCTCTGAGCCACAACCCCAGCCCCAGATCTTGGTTTTTAACACTTATTTTACTGTATGATTTTGGGAAAATAAGTTTGTTCTCATTTTATAAAATGAGGATATGCCTCAATTGTGTACCACAAGGGGGACTGTAATGAAAGTTCTTTTTAAAAAGTATGGGGATTGTGGCTCAGCAGTAGAGTGCTTGCCTAGCATGTGAGAGGCCATAGGTTTGATCCTCAGCACCACATAAAAATAAATAAGTAAAATAAAGATATTGTGTCCAACTACAATAAATATTTTTTAAAAAGTAGTAGTATGTTTTCATAATCTGAGATTCTTTTCCATCTTTTTTTTTTTTTTTTTAATTGGTGTTCGAATCCAGAAATGCTTTACCACTGAGCTACATCCCCAGTCTTTTTTATTTTGTATTTTGAGACAAGGCCTGGCAAAACTGCTGAGGACGACTTTGAACTTGTGATCCTCCTGTCTCAGCCTTCTATGTGATAGGGATTACAGGCCTGCACTGGCACGTTTTCATTTTCTCTGGTAATTGATATCTTTCTTCTCTTCCTTTCTTTCCTCCTCCTTTTTGCCTTCTTTCTGGATTGAACCCAGGGGTGCTCTAGCACTGAGCTATGTCCCTGTCCCTTAAAACTATATGAGATGGTCTTTTTTTTGGGGGGGGTATTTATTTTTGGGGGGGATTAGATCCAAGGGTTCTTTACCACTGGGGTACATCCCCAACTATTTTTCAAATTTTTAAAATTTGAGGGTTTTGCTTAATTGCTTAGAGCCTTGCTGTGGCTGACTTCAAATTTGTGATCTTCCGGCTGGGGATGTGGCTCAAGCGGTAGCGTGCTCGCCAGGCATGCGTGCGGCCCAGGTTTGATCCTCAGCACTACATACAAAGATGTTGTGTCCGCCGAAAACTAAAAAAAAAAAAAAAAAATTAAAATTCTCTCTCTCTCCGTTTTTAAAAAAACAAAAACAAATTTGTGATCCTCTTTGCCTCAGCCTCCCAAATTGCTGGGATTACAGGTATGCACCACTGCATCTGGTGAGGCTGGGTCTTGCTAAGTAGCCCAGGCTGGCTACTATTTGTGATTCTCCTGCCTCTGCCTCCCATGTGCTCCACCATGCCTGGCTTCTGTAATTCATATTTTTTTCCTCTCCATATTGAACCCAGGGTGTTTTACCACCAACCTACAT